TTCTGGACAAAAAATCTTAGTCCTAGGGTTGAGATTTCTCTATCTTACACATCCAGTAGCGATTGATTATTTTTCTCCCATATCTAACAGTATTTTAATGTGAAATAAAGGTAAACATGGACCCAAAACACATACATGGATTGTTGACGTGACGTCATTGTATTGTTGAAGTGACGTCATGCCATTGTTATGAATAGGGGAATCCCCCCGTCTCAACCCTAGGGCGGAGACAGATAAATCTAGCACCGGCAAAACGGAAGATAAATCTGTCAGGTGTGGGAAAAAGCCTCTTGTAGAACGGCACAATCTAAGTCATAACAATAGCATGACGTCACGTCATCGATGCATTGACGTCACGTAAACAGTAACAGACCATATAGAAGACAACTCTGCATTTGCTGGAAAAACATTCATACAATGTACCAGGTTAATGTCGGCGGATATTTGAGTGAAACAGGATGGGAGAAAAACAATCATCCCCTACCTTGAGGATGTGACAGAGAAAAGGAATATCTCGTTCTTGTTTGGAGTAAGACATTCAATCTCCACCTCTGGGTTGAGATTTTTCTGTCTTGCCCAAAGGTTGGGAAAGACTATATCTGCCACTACATATGTATTCCTCATTGTCTAACCCGAGGTTCCATTCAAGCCGAGAGTTGGGCATTCAAGAAATTCACTTGGGGTTGGGGTTTCTGTGGCATTCTCTAAACCTAGGGGTTCTTTGCTCCAATCCTATCAGTATTATGGTGACCAATACTTGAACACATTGGTTATCAGGTTTATAATCTATATTATTCATTATGATTCACAATTGATCTTTCCCGTCGAAAGGTGATTGTGGCGTCAAGATTTCAAGTTCGTTGTATTGTCATACCCTATTAAAATGTTGACAGAGAAAATCCTATCCTAATGGGTAAGAAACTTGGAATAGTTATTACAGGAGACAATTCAATGAATATTTGACTGGATGTCTCGTCATCTTTAGGTATTAGAAAGAAACACATATTGAACACGATTTACTTGATGACTTGAAAAAGACTTATCATAACAAACATGCGTGTAGAGGATGTTCAAACATCTCTTAAGGTGATTGTAAGGCAATTTCGTGATTAAAGATATATCAGCATACCGACTTTATAAAAACAAAACATTACTGAATCGGCAGGATACTCTACGGCCACCATCCTTATGTAACACTATCTGGTACATCCGGAACAACCATTGTCGGGTGTGACGTCACGATAAACGGCCAGTTAAAAGGAAAAGCTTCATCGATTCCAGGTATCATCTCCTCGTGTTAGAGTGCTTCAACAGGTCTTGTTGTGTCAGTAAATTATATCGTTTATGGCCATCGTATGTATTTAGATTTAATAAAAAAAAATATCAAATGAAACCATGACAAATTTGACCTTTTATGGTAATGTGATAGTCAGGATACGAGATAACTAATCAAATACTCTTAAAAGTTTGAAAATTGAGAAATACATCGTGACATATATACGATAAGGGATTCGTGAAATCATTTTGATGTATCGCCTATATACTGATAGTGACCTTGATTTTGACCTCAGTCGTAATCCATGTACGTGGGCCTAGTTACAAACAAAGCACATCTCTAACAGTGCGACTGATAAAACAGAAATGATGGGTACCATTTAATACTTTTTAATAATTTACAAAAATACCAGTAACGTGTAGGTGGAATTCGTAGGTAATCGTGTTTTTATCTGTAACGATGGGAAATAAACAGAGATGTCGTGGACAAGATAACATTATTTATTGAGTTCTAATTTAAATGAAAACTTAACCTACTAATATGTTAATCTTTATCTAGCCGAGTGGTACCCCTCACAGGTAGAATAGCTGATGTCACCCCATATATACTAGCGGGGAAAAAAACCCTGTTCATGCCTAAAATGTGTTATAAAAAATGAATGTGTATGACGTAGAACAACAAGATTTTCAGGGACAATTTGTTTGTTATTTATTAACAGTTGCATTCCATTTTCCACGTTATGGAATCAATAAGTTCCGCTCAGGAGTGACGTAAACACAGCAGGGGTCAATACTGAGTTCACAAAGTTAATACCTCGTATGTCCACCGTTTGCCTGAATGCAAGCCTAGCAACGTCTACGCATGGAGCCTATCAGACGGTTCAAGAATGCTTGTGGGATGGCATTCCAGATGCAGCCAAATCAGCCAATGTCACCGGTTGATTAGTAAATGGCCGTAATCTGCGCTTCATTTCATCCCAGACGTGTTCAATGGACGACAGATCGGGGAATACAGCAGGCCAAGGCAACACGTCAACGTTCTGCTGGGCCAGAAAGTCCATAGCGACACGAGCTGTGTGTGGCCTGGCGTTGTCCTGCTGTAGCGTAATGTGACGTTGCTGCCCTTGCGCGAATGGAACGACGTGGGTCCGGAGGATCTCGTCACGGTAACGTAGCGCGTTCAAATTCCCGTTAACAACCAGCTGTGATGCCGCCCCAAATCATAACGCTGCCTCCGCCGAAAGAACGTCGTTGTACCACACACGCGTCACGGAAACGTTCTCCAACGCGTCGATACACTCTGAAACGGCCGTCACTACTATCCAGGTGGACTCGCGACTCGTCCGTAAACAAAACGCCAGCCCAATCCCGTCAAATAGATCGCAGATGCCTCCTGCTCCAGTCCAGACGTGCTACATGATGACGTGGCAGAAGAACTAGGCGGATGCAGGACGTCGCGGACGGACAGCTCGTTCACGCAATTTGTTCCGTACAGTTCTCGGGCTTATTGGTAGCAACCCAGGGATTGTCCGTGCAGTCAAACTTGCAGCTTGGAAGCGATTTCTCAAATGGACAAGCCGAATATGGTTGTCCTGTTGACGTGACGTCACACGTTGGACGTCCCGCACGAGGTCGATCGCCGACGTGGCCAAACTGTTGAAGTCGTCTCCACAAATCCCGGATTTTGTTTCGATGGACATGAAAACGTGTAGAGACAACGGCTTGGCCCATACCAGCTTGAAGCATACCAATAATCCGGAGGCGGTCATTTTTATTGAGCCTCGGCATAGAATCTATCACAAATTAAAACTTTATAATGCTGTTTTTACTGTTCACTGGTCTCAACAGATTGACCCATCAGTTGAAAAATAAACTTCCATTGCCGAATTTGAAGGCTGGACGAGAAAAACGTGCAAACTGGTCAACGCCTATAGAGAGCAAACTGCACGGGAAAAACTGTCAATGACACACGGATAGTGTATATGTGTCATACTCGGTTATGCGTGTGAATTTTCTTTCTTTTTTCCCGCTAGTATATATACACGCATCTGTCTTATAGCTGAGAGTGGTAACCATCACAGGTAGAATAGCTAATGACATCCCAGATATAAACAACCCTGTCTTATAGCTGAGAGTGATAACCCTCTCGATATATCCCACCCTCTGTCTTATAGCTGAGAGTGGTAGTCTCGTCACTATACAAGTAGTCTCCTCACTGAACATGTAGTCTCGTCATTGTACATGTAGTCTCGTCACTGTACATGTAGTCTCGTCACTGTGCATGTCGTCTCGTCACTGTGCATGTAGTCTCGTGATTGTACATGTAGTCTCGTGATTGTACATGTAGTCTCGTCACTGTGCATGTCGTTTCGTCACTGTGGATGTAATTTCGTCACTGTACATGTAGTCTCGTCATTCTACATGTAGTCTCGTCACTGTACATGTAGTCTCGTCATTGTACATGTAGTCTCGTCACTGTGCATGTCGTCTCCTCACTGAACATGTATTCTCGTCATTGTACATGTTGTCTCGTCATTGTACATGTAGTCTCGTCATTGTACATGTGATCTCGTCACTGAACATGTAGTCTCGTCACTGAAAATAAAGTCTCGTCACTGAACATGTCGTCTCCTCACTGAAAATGTAGTCTCGTCACTGTACATGTAGTCTCGTCATTGTACATGTAGTCTCGTCATTGTACATGTGATCTCGTCACTGAACATGTAGTCTCGTCACTGAACATGAAGTCTCGTCACTGAAGATGTAGTCTTGTGGTTGTACACGTGATCTCTTCACTATACATGTAGTCTCGTCACCGACTTGTCGTCTCGTCATTGTACATGTCGTCTCGTCACTGTGCATGCCGTCTCGTCACTGTACATGTAGTCTCGTCACTGTGCATGTCGTCTCGTCACTGTGCTTGTCGTCTCGTCACTGTGCATGTCGTCTCGTCACTGAGCATGTGACCTCTTCACTGTGCATGCAGTCTCGTCCTTGTAAATGTTATATCGTCACTGTATATGTCATTGTGTAATTGAACACGTGGTCTCCTCACTGTTCATGTGATATCTTCTCCGAGCATGTGATCTCGTCACTTTACATGTAGTCACGTCATTGTACATGTGATATCGTTACTGAACATTTCGTCACTGTATATGTAGTGGCGTCACAGTAGATGTGATATCGTCACTGAACATGTAATTTCGTCACTGAGCATGTGATCTCGTCACTGTACGTGTGATTTTGTCACATGTCAGCCTCTTTCTAGTGAGCCCTGGGATAGTATAGTACAACTGGCGGTTTGCCTTCGACGTTACTGACGGACAGTGGATTCACAAATAAATGAAAAACGTGTAAATATATCTGTGTTACTTGTCTTCACATTATTTCAAGATAGAAACAATCTTGTCTAGCTATGTCAAGTACCAAACTATAACATAGCGTCATCTGATTACAAGAGTGGTCAAAACTAAAGGGTAATACATTTATATGTGAAGACAAGTAACATTCTATAAATACAAATATATTTTTATTTTCAGGACAAAAAAGAAATATTTTTATTTTCAGGACAAAAAAGAAATAAGTTCTTATCAGATTTATCAGGAATGTAATAAAACAATTTTATCGAACTGATCATTTTTGATATGTCACAGGTCAAATAGTGATTTTTATATGTTGTATGCTTGTTCTACTATTGGAGGAATGACAAAGAAAATTTGAATAAAGAATTTGAATAAATTTAATACAATGTAAAGTCAACAACATATTTATGTACAAAAAACAATTGATAACAACTTATAAATGCACAAAAACTTAAAAAGAGAAAACAACATTACAACAGTTTTTCCCCTTTCCTAAAAACAACACTAAATGACCTTTGACAAGGTCACATTCTCACTGTGGCCTCCACCTGTCAATGGGAGACATGATGAACAATGCGATTTGTTTCACAATTCTATACAGCTTGTCTGGAGAAGGATTCACGATGCAACATATTCAATAAGTTAAAATGAAGAATACCTTCAAACAACAAGCACTTATATAAATATAAACAGTTCGTGAAGTTGATGTTCGTCCTCCTCATCATAAACGGATATAGTATATTCACGACAGGGAGCACGCTCTTCTGTCAATTAATACTGTACTTAGTCTATCTCATCCACGACCTTTTAAAACAAAGGGCAGATAACTCGTGTCTGTATATCCAAGAACAGACCACCCTGAGGTTTTTAAACTCTTCATTGAACACATTTCTTATATACGGGAATTTACATGCTGATATGTTTGACGTATATGGGAAGAGAGTATTTTCCTCGTAATTTTTGTGATGACGTCATCCCCAAACACGAGGATGTGGCGCCATTATCACAGAATGCAAATACTGTGCTCGTGCTACGTGATCAAGAGCACTCGGAGACACCATGGTACTGAGCTCGACTCTGTTCCACTCCCGTCGACACGTCCACGCGCCGGATACAGCCCATGAAGTGACCTCTCTTCGTGTTCAACTGAAAAGACAAAGAAAAGGGGAAAATGACGTCATGTGCATGAGAGTTTGAGTAAACATATGGAGAGGGCAAATCTCTGCAGCACTACTAGTCCAGATTTTTCAATGTAAACTTGAATCGGCAAGAAATATCGTCTTATCCCAACGAAGTAGCTAAACAACGAAATAAAACGCATACAACGGAAATTTCAACTCACTATTTAGCGACCCGAAATATCCATATCCATGCTAATTATCGTTTCGCGGCAAAGTAACGATTATCTTTGTTACGATGTATGTCGACCCGCTAATCATTGGGATTCCGAAGCAAAATAACAAAGGTTACTTTGTCAAGAAAAAAAGAAGAGAAATATGTCGGGTCGCTACACAGCAAAACAGGAATGAATATTTATTTTTCGATATATCGTTGCGAAAAGGCGACGCTTAGTGGGGGAAAATACAATTAAAATCATTCGCTGCGAGCAAAACAAAACAACGTATGCACTTATATACATTAGTGCAATAAGTTTCTTTTTGTTCATCACGCCCTTTGAAGAACACTTTTTAACCTGCCGTGAAAACATTTATTTTTATTTTGTTGCATTCAGTTGAAAGTTTAAGTTATTGAAGCTTCTAACGTCCGTTCATCAAAATAAGTTTTAGTTTAAATCTGGTTTGTCTTACCTCTCTACGTAGACTGTCGTACTTCCGGATCGGGTCGACGCCTCCAAAGGTCAAGGACGTCAATGCACCGCAGTCGACACGGTAGTCATGGAAATATGGAGAGCGGTCGACGAAAAGTTTACCGCGGTTGTTCCTTCTCCTGAACACAATCTGTAAACGAAGAATATCTCTAGTCAGAACCAATCACGATTGTGTATCCGGAATAACTGTATTCGAAAACCACCAAAACGTTATCTTCGTAATTAACGTCATTAGCATTTCGTCGAAGTAAGAGCAGCATGCAAAGTTCTGAAATTAAGTGCTCCTATTGGGACACCGTTTATCAAATTTGATTGAAACTTAATGCGTTTAATAGCATACTAAAGTTAATCATTATGCATCATTTGCTAAGAAAGTTTTGTCTTGGATTCTAATCTAAAAGCTTAATCACCTTGTGCCATTTTCCATCGTCCACGCGTATACGAGACAGAGTAAGGGTGGCCTCGATCTGCTTACACCGGATGTGATACCTCGGATGGCCGTTAATGATGTCTAGAGCCACAAGCTCGTTCTGTCGGCGCTCGGGAGTCATGTGGAACAGGACGCCGTTTGGAGACGTTGTCTTGAACTCGAATTTCATCTCATGGCTGTGTGAATTAATAATTGGGCAAATAAGACGGAGCACGTTCACTTTGTATATAAGTCTTTGAAAAATTGGTCAGAGAAAAACCGAACAAAACAGGAATGCAGCACCATTGGCTGCCAAACTATTGACACGTGATCAGCAATATTGTAATTGATTTTGTGATAAAGTATATATAAGTTCTTATCACAATTGAGGGAAAATACTAATGCGCTAACATCAATTTTTTCTCATATACGATAGGCAATAGCTGATAAATATAGCAAGTGCTCTTATAGATACTTAATTACCATTTAATTAAAAATAATGAAGGTTGCAATGACCAACATGTTATATACAATACGTACCCAGTCATGAACCCTTTCTGTAACACAGGTAGAGCCACCCGGCTTTTGTTGAGAGATTCAATGTAAGCCCCGCTGCTGGAGAAAATTGAGATGGCTGACTGCAAGTCAAGAGAAAGAAAGAAAAATCAGAATGTATTCATGAGAAAGTTAAAGTACATTTGATATCGATAATCAATTGTTTTAAGTAAAGTCTATCTCAAACTGAAATTAAAGCATAATCGAGCTGAGATAAGAGCAAGTCTGTTTTTTTCTATTTACATAATGTATTAACATATACCAACACCCTAAACCTAATGTCCATGTTGTCCCGGGACCCCGAGTGGCACTACACAGAGCCGGATTAACATTTCAAATGATCCATTGCCTGTGAAATGTGGCAAATCATTTCTAGATATGCCAGGACAGGCAGTGAACAGGAAATCAGGTAGATATTTATTATAAAACGGAAATGTTAAGTGCCAAGCTTATCTCTTGTAATCGCGCCTTTGGTGTACTCGGACCCAAGGACCTCTAACTTTTTATTGCTCGTTTGTTGATAACTGATTACAGCAGTAAAACTGGTCTTACAGACGATAATCGTCCTCTGTTATACTTAGTGAAGTACAGGTAGTTAAAGCTCCACCTGTTATACTAAGAAACACACAGGTATATTAAACCTCCCTCTGTTATACTAAGTAAAACACAGGTATATTAAACCTCCCTCTGTTATACTAAGAAACACACAGGTATATTAAACCTCCCTCTGTTATACTAAGTAAAGCACAGGTATATTAAACCTCCCTCTGTTATACTAAGTAAAACACAGGTATATTAAACCTCCCTCTGTTATACTAAGTAAAACACAGGTATCTCCAACCTCCCTCTGTTATACGAAGTAAAACACAGGTATATTAAATCTCCCTCTATTATACTAAGTAAAACACAGGTATATTAAACCTCCCTCAGTTATACGAAGTAAAACACATGTATCTCCAACCCCCCTCTGTTATACTAAGTGTCCGGTAATAAGCCCACCATATATATTACTATTCAGTTAAAATGCTGAAAAATTATATTTTATTGTTCTGTTATACGCCCATCCCATATCTTGATTAAAAGAGTATATGCTTGTTCCCTGGTTTTTATGGTAAGCTTTACACAGATATCGTAAATCTCCATCTAATGTACAACACTGAGTAATGTAGCCCCGTCTTTTTAAACTATCACAGAACATACTTTTATGCAGTTTGTTTCTGAGGTACAATTATCTTGTTTGCATATAGGACTACTCCTTAAAATTAATTTAAATGCTCCTTACAATTCGATTAAAATCCAAACAAAATAACATCACATCAGAATTCAAAACTATTTGTGTGAAATATGTCTTTGTGTTTTGAAAACAACAGAATTCGCATGGTCATTGGGGTCATTGGGGTCATTGGGGTCATTGGGTTGACTTTATACGAGTAAGATCTCCTGGACAGAAAAACGGAAAACATTGGGCCACCACAACAAAGCCCAAGCACATAATCCGGCCAATCGTGGTCATTCGTGTGGGCAACATAAACATGATGGTAAGTGACTGGTCACTTCTGTGTCCGATTTGTCCAAAGCCTTTGTAGCTTAATATTGAATTAACGAAATATTTTCATCAACTTTTGTTTTAGAATTATGTAGAAAATCAGAGCGTCTATAGCATGCTCGATAATGGATTTAAATAAACAGATGATTCCTAAAAGAAACCCCAAAAGCTATGCATATTTTAAGGGAAGACCTACCAGGGTCAAAATTTGATAGTTCGCCAAAATTGTCAAACGGGCTTTCTTATAAATAAAGGAAATAATAATAAGAAGAAAGCCCGTTTGACATTTTTGGCGAACTAACAAATTTTGACCCTGGTAGGTCTTCCCTAACGGTCAATTAGTACTCTCGTTCGGCTGGAGGAGTCACAAAACAATGCCAACCATTTTAAAATTAACTACAAGAATCAATAAACACAGGTGAGACTTTGTGCGTTACCTTTAATTAACTGACCAGGTGAGATGTTTTGTATTGCCTGAAAGTAAAAGACCAGGTGAATTACCTGGATAATTGGTGATTCTATTGTAAACTGGGGAGACTATATCAACAATACCGTGTGTCTAAAATATTTCATTTTGTCGTTGAAATGCAAAATTCCTCCAATAAAACCCGTCGCGGTGTTCTCAAGGTGCCGTTTGGAACGCTACATTGTTTAACATTGTTCATGATGTATGTATTTCGAGAGTCTGACAGAGGACGAGAAATGTGTTTTCTCGATTGTCGTCTAACTGTCAAAAGTTGACGTTTAAAAGGTCTTGACAGAATCATTGGTTAGCATTACGACCGGCTGTGTTAAATAGCTTCTAAAGTTTCAACCACATAATCCGACACTAACAATTAAATCAAATTGACATTTTATACGCGGGTAACGTTACATAAAAATAGCTAACACCTGGCAAGGAACACGTCTCAACAAAGACACGTGAAATTGGGATATAAAATCTCATTACAGCCGAATGAAATGATTTATGTAAACGATCTATTTTGGTGAGAAGCTGACCCGTTTCAGGGTGAGTGCCATCACGCGAGGTACCAGGGGGAAACCGTGGCCCTGTGATTCCGGCATGTGATATGAAGGGTATAATAGGTCTGAATTTATTGGGTAGCTATTATAATCAGGCTGTTAAACATGTAGACGAGGAAGGAAACGTTCTGTAATTATGACCACCTCCACGGGTCTGCAGAGCCGATAGGAAGCAAGTCACCCAGCCGCTTGCCCGCGCGACAAAAGTTTGCACGTGCATACGTCTAATGTAAATTACTTTCTTTCCTATGTCACGTTGCCATACTTGCACTGAGGTACAAACGAAATCACATTAACACAGATTAAGGTTTTGACGTGGTAGAAACGATATAATCAACACATGTTTGCATTTGTGTTTTATGATATCGTTTTTGTTTTATTGGGCTTTGCATCCTTTTAACAACTGAAGTCATTTAAGGACGTGCCTCAGTGTGTTTAAATGTGTGCGTGCATGACTGCATGTCTGCTGGGGGCGGTGTGTTGGTGTAATTCCTTCCTAGCGTTAGCGCTAATCTGATGCCGACTTTAGAGTGCTATCACCTGACATTTTGGATTGTGTGATACTTGTCTTATCTCATTTCTTATATGTTTTAATTCTATTCTATATTTTTGCTGCATCTTATTTGTATTTTAATTCCATATTTTCTAAAATATCATTTTTTACAAAACTTGATAAATTTTGTTAATTGATTTCGGTATCATTTTTAATTCACACTATTATAGTGTATATTCTGTCAAATTGTTTTCTTTGCTATATTAGCATTGTATGTATATTCCACTTCATAGTGTTTTAATCCTAAGTCCTAAGTAATTCTTGTGTGATATACAAGTATTCATTCACTATTAACTATGTCTTTTATTTACCTATTCTGAATACTACTTATCTGTGATCACATTTAATGTTTTTCATATATTAACATCATTTTTATATATATATTCCGGGGGCCTTTGTAGGTAGGGGACTCCCAATCACTTAGAAACCTGGGATATGTATACTTTCTTTTTCTGTGATGGTTATTACTGTTTTATTATTAATATATGTGATTATCTCCCTTTACTTGTAATATAATATGTTCCTTGTTTACATGTATGCGACGTTAAATAAAGTTTTTTGTATCTTGTATCTTGTATCGCACTGAAATACCATACCGAAGGCGCCGAACACAGTATTCCATCCGGTTACATTATGCTGACAACGGGTGAACCAGTTCTTGCCATTACCCTCAATGCTGAACGTTTAGTAGGGAATAACAACTACAATTTGAAGGACTTTAAATTGGTATGCTCCGGGTTTTGGACAGATATAAATATTGCAAAGGTTTCGATGGAGACAGCAGATGTATTCTGGTCACTATGGTGTTCCCAGGTAGAAGGCACACAAGCGACTCCCCAATTCTACAGGGGGTTCCCTCATTAGTTGCCTCTTACACCAATCAACACAGGACGAAGTGTCCTTCGTTAATTAGTTTTCAACATTCTCGTCCCTTGTGTATTTTCGACCATAACACGCGCACACTATGATTAATTTTAAGTAAACCCCGTCCATTTCACGACGACACTATATGAACAATATTTATAATCCTATTTTATTTATTGCTGCACGGTTATACAATAGATCAACATGCCTAATTTCAGGTGAACGATCTCTTTGCTTTGGAATGCGTGTTTATACAGAAAATACTGTCGATTTTTGCGTGGAATCTGCTATAACATATCCGAGTCTCGTGACAAACTACACCCTAAGTGACCCAAACGTGAATTGTGGTTTCCCCAACGACCGTATACTTGTCAAGTTGTCTGCTTTCTCTCGTCATCCATTCTATCAAAGACACGTGCTGCTATTTATAAAGGATGAATCTGCCGCAAATGCCCATTTAGACCTGGCGTGGGAGGGAGATAACAAATGGCGACTTACCGGGCATTGCGTTGTTATAAACGTGTAGTTATTTATGGAGCAGAACTCAGGACAGAGCGACCAATGGGTAACGAAATGTGCAAAGTTCAGAAATGTTCACCTGTATAATGGTGTGGCGATCAAAGTAAGACCACATGTACCAATGGATGTGAGACATACAGAATGCTGCATTTAAGTGTCAATTACGGAATTATCCGCTCTAGACTTATGTCTGCATTACATTAATACCTCATATAGAGCGTGATTCGTGACTTCTCGATGACGAAATATTACAAATTTTATTATCGACTATCGCTTTCAAACGCTTTAAAATGACAATGCACTAACCGTGACCATTGTGTTCTTCTACAGGTTAAATGATTTGGAATATAAACAAATACTGTCAACTGAAAAATACTGAAGTTATTCTTTCAGTGAACTATTGTTTAATGATATTAAATTAATCAATTTGAAAAAATAGCCTGTATAGAGAGTAATATGGATACAGTGAATTATTGGCCTGACCATGTATATTAAACCCCGTAAGGTAATTTACACTCTACGGCTTTAATTTCAGTACTATCACAACGATTTTGTTCATCTTCTTTTTTAAATGTGGTGGTAATATTTGAATTTTAAATAATTGCATTGTCGTTAATCTTAAGTGATATAAATGTACAGATATTCACTTGCAGAGGAATTTCCGAAATATTCATAATATGAAATAGACGTATGTTCAATTTCATGTTTTTAGAGAAGTTAAATTTTATGATATAAAACATTTCCATTTTTTTGTTAAACCATTAAGAAAAAAATGTAGAAAATAAATGACATTCAAATTATTGCAAATGTTTAGATGTGACGAGTTCAGATAGTGTGGAGTATCCCTTCCTGTTGAATATATTTTTTTGTAAAGCATATCTCCGGGAAAGTATAAACTATGGTGAAAAGTTTGGACCGGAGATATACTGTATCACAAACAGGCCCACTGCACGTTTGTCATGCGATTGGTACTTTGTTTTGAGACAAGTGTCCGTGATGGCCAATTCATGCCATTAAATAAAGCAATTAAATGATAGCTCAAGTATATCCCTTGGCCTGTTACGCGAGTTGATTTTTTCATTTTTCATTTTTTTTTATCATCAACTCATGAATTATAAATTAAAAGTGAATCACATTAAGACTAGGGTACGTACAATGTTCAAGTGAGGAGTACGGGACTTACAAAATCGCGCTGTGCTGTTTCTTTGCCCTTTGATATTTAAAGTAGTATGTGAATCCGCAACACACAGACACGGACCTGCGAAATGGTTCGATTGAAAAAAAATTCTAAATCCTATTGAATGCTTTAATTTTAAAAATATGCAATTCCAAGTAAAACGTATAAGTAGGCCGAATGTCTCCTTAAGGAAACGGGAATGATTTTCCCGCCTTCTAAACCAGCGAATATTAAATGTCAAACTGCACACCTGGACACAAACAGGCCTTATTACCTGTCCCATCCTATTGTACATACCTGTAACAGTAACTACAAGGTCACACAGATTTACCTGTAATTTTCCATTCATAAAACAGATAGCACCTTCCACTGTGTGCACGTAATACGGGCAGAATGAACCGCAGAGACGCTTTATCGGGTAACAGGCCGTCCATGTGTAACAGACCTACTTCAACATGCCAGCCCTGTTTGCTTTTATTTAGAGTTCATTTCCCGAAATACCAGCAAGGTTTGTCAAATCAAACAAAACTCTTGTGCTACGTGTTTTTTTTTTTTTTTACTAAAATTAAGTTTAAGCGTTCTTACTTTTGCCGTATGTACCGAAAAGATGACAAGAAAACACGGAAAATACGTCAAGTCCGAGTCCAACCCCATCTTCATGAAATTAATCATTGTTCTAGCATTATGACCTCCAATAGTTACCTTATACCTGATACTATTGTGCATCATATAAAACGCAATTAACTACCGTCAGCCCGCGCATCCTGCACAGTGCACCTCACGTCCCTGACGCATAAAGATATCCATTTTTTTTAAATGCAACGTAGCTCATATTTGATACTGTTGATAACTTTCATATCATTAAAAATAATAAGAAAATCCCTCAAATATGAAACTCTGATAGCATGTCACGTGTTTCAAAACCTTGATTATATATTAATTTTGAAACAAAAACTTAACGGTTTGCAACTTACCTTGCATCTGTCTATAGGTGAGGCGCGGGATAGCCAGGACAGGTAAATAACTGACATGTAGATAGTCGACATGAATTGAAACATCGAAAACACACAGGTATGCATTTTGCTGAAGTGATATGTAAAAGTTCCACAAGTGCGACTTTGTATTAAAACGTAGGTAGATATGGGTATACACACTAACTTGCTAGTATCACTCGGACACACAGGTTATGAATGAGAACTCACCTGTATATATATGGGTAAGCGGGTCTGCTGTGTTAGCAGGCGGTTTCTGATTGGTTCTTTTTCTTAAAATTGATTTCATCATCTCGTCACTTCAATGAGTATTACCAACTCGGCCGTAAATAGTAAACAACTTCCTCTGTCGCCAGCCTATCGTAGAAGCGTGTGTAATACAATTCATATCCTTGGGAAATTATGAATGAAATTTTAAATGAAGAGGCGTGTCGATTTTGGCGACGTGTCCTACATACATTTCATTCATAAAGTTCCTTCCTTGAACTACGGTGGTTCCCATGTATAGCTGTTCGAGTGTGAATGACTTGAGAAAAGCCTTGTTGGCAATGAGAAAAAAATCAAGTCAGCGTATGTTCACCTTCACAAACTAAATAAGTTTATTAGATTTTAATATCCCCCTCGACACAGGTGATCACACAGGCACATAAGGTTCGAATTATAAAGTTCAGGTGGCGTATACTTGACACACGTTTACCTGCACTGAGTTATAACTCCGGGAATTCACTCGCCTTTTGATCGTGTAGATTTCTTTGCTAGGTCTAACAGACTGAGTACGTTTTAGGAACTATTTCTGTAATTCACGCCTATATTCAATATTACTCTTTTAGTGTTAAATTAGGTTTTGGCCGATTTTCTCACGAGATAGGTCAGATATATACACTATCATTAATGAAGTTCTATGACAGTACTACTTATGACTTTAAAGTTGTGTGACATTGAGGCGGTTTTTAAAAAGACATGTTTTTATATAAAAAATATTGTCAGATGTAAGTTAAACACGTGTCATTCTCGACACAACACAGAGCAAGTGAGCATGTCTATATAAAGAAACAATTTACAACGCTCCACTTATAAAAGTCATTACATCAATCCTGGAAATGTTTCCGGCTCACTTGTACCTTTTTTATTTGGTTTTGTCTGTCGGACTATCGTCATTGTTTGTCCATACTCTTGACTCTCCTGACAATATGCATGTGTTATTTGTCCTTGTAGTGTGTATAATACATCATGTATCATGTATGTTTGTCTGTCTGTCCTCACAATGTGTACTATAAATCATGTATGTCTTTATGTCCTAACAATATGTACTATAGACCATATCTGTCTGTCAGTCTGTCCTAACAGATGAAATACTATAAAACATGTCTCTGTCTGTTTGTCTCTCACAGTGTGTACTTAACATCATATCTACTGTCCTCACAGTGTGTACTAAACACCATATCTACTGTCCGCACAGTGTGTACTTAACATCATATCTACTGTCCGCACAGTTTGTACTAAACATCATATCTACTGTCCTCACAGTGTGTACTAAACACCATATCTACTGTCCTCACAGTGTGTACTAAACACCATATCTACTGTCCTCACAGTGTGTACTAAACATCATATCTACTGTCCTCACAGTGTGTACTTAACATCATATCTACTGTCCTCACAGTGTGTACTTAACATCATATCTACTGTCCTCACAGTGTGTACTTAACATCATATCTACTGTCCTCACAGTGTGTACTTAACATCATATCTACTGTCCTCACAGTGTGTACTTAACATCATATCTACTGTCCTCACAGTGTGTACTTAACATCATATCTACTGTCCTCACAGTGTGTACTTAACATCATATCTACTGTCCTCACAGTGTGTACTTAACATCATATCTACTGTCCTCACAGTGTGTACTTAACATCATATCTACTGTCCTCACAGTGTGTACTTAACATCATATCTACTGTCCTCACAGTGTGTACTTAACATCATATCTACTGTCCTCACAGTGTGTACTTAACATCATATCTACTGTCCTCACAGTGTGTACTTAACATCATATCTACTGTCCTCACAGTGTGTACTTAACATCATATCTACTGTCCTCACAGTGTGTACTTAACATCATATCTACTGTCCTCACAGTGTGTACTTAACATCATATCTACTGTCCTCACAGTGTGTACTTAACATCATATCTACTGTCCTCACAGTGTGTACTTAACATCATATCTACTGTCCTCACAGTGTGTACTAAACACCATATCTACTGTCCTCACAGTGTGTACTAAACACCATATCTACTGTCCTCACAGTGTGTACTAAACACCATATCTACTGTCCTTACAATGTGTACTAAACACCATATCTACTGTCCTTACAATGTGTACTAAACACCATATCTACTGTCCTCACAGTGTGTACTAAACACCATATCTACTGTCCTCACAGTGTGTACTAAACACCATGTCTGTCTTTATGTCCTCACAATGTGTACTTAACACCATATCTACTGTTCTCACAATGTGTACTATCAACCATGTCTGTCTTTATGTCCTCACAGTGTGTACTATACATTATGTCTGTCTTTATGTCCTCACATTGTGTACTATACATTATGTCTGTCTTTATGTCCTCACAGTGTGTACTATACATTATGTCTGTCTTTATGTCCTCACAGTGTGTACTATACATTATGTCTGTCTTTATGTCCTCACATTGTGTACTATACATTATGTCTGTCTTTATGTCCTCACAGTGTGTACTATACATTATGTCTGTCTTTATGTCCTCACAGTGTGTACTATACATTATGTCTGTCTTTATGTCCTCACATTGTGTACTATACATTATGTCTGTCTTTATGTCCTCACAGTGTGTACTATACATTATGTCTGTCTTTATGTCCTCACAGTGTGTACTATACATTATGTCTGTCTTTATGTCCTCACAGTGTGTACTATACACCATGTCTGTCTTTCTGTCCCCACAGTGTGTACTATGCATTATGTCTGTCTTTGTGTCCGCACAGTGTGTACTATACACCATGTCTGTCTTTGTGTCCTCACAGTGTGTACTATGCATTATGTCTGTCTTTGTGTCCGCACAGTGTGTACTATACACCATGTCTGTCTTTCTGTCCCCACAGTGTGTACTATACATCACATCACTCTTTCTGTCCTCCCAGTGTGTACTATACATCACATCTGTCTTTCTGTCCCCACAGTGTGTACTATACATTATGTCTGTCTTTGTGTCCGCACAGTGTGTACTATATATTAAGTCTGTCTTTGTGTTCTCACAGTGTGTACTATACATCACATCTGTCTTTATGTCCTCACAGTGTGTACTATACACCATGTCTGTCTTTGTGTCCTCACAGTGTGTACTATACATAATGTCTGTCTTTGTGTCCACACAGTGTGTACTATACACCATGTCTGTCTTTCTGTCCCCACAGTGTGTACTATACATCACATCTCTATTTCTGTCCTCACAGTGTGTACTATACATCACATCTTTCTTTCTGTCCCCACAGTGTGTACTATATATTATGTCTGTCTTTGTGTCCGCACAGTGTGTACTATACATTATGTCTGTCTTTGTGTCCGCACAGTGTGTACTATGCATCACATCTGTCTTTATGTCCTCACAGTGTGTACTATACACCATGTCTGTCTTTGTGTCCTCACAGTGTGTACTATACATTATGTCTGTCTTTGTGTTCTCACAGTGTGTACTATACACCATGTCTGTCTTTGTGTTCTCACAGTGTGTACTATACACCATGTCTGTCTTTCTGTCCCCACAGTGTGTACTATACATTATGTCTGTCTTTATGTCCTCACAGTGTGTTCTATACATTATGTCTGTCTTTATGTCCTCACAGTGTGTACTATACACCATGTCTGTCTTTCTGTCCCCACAGTGTGCACTATACATCACATCTCTTTTTCTGTCCTCACAGTGTGTACTTTACATCACATCTGTCTTCATGTCCTCACAGTGTGTACTCTCAACCATGTCTGTCTTTCTACCCTTTCTCTCAGTGATATGTGTACTTATTGTCTAACGTCACAACGTATTCCGATTGTTTAATTTGACTCGTACAACTGATAGCGCTGCGGCTGGGAGGGTAGTTTCAATGGGTTATCTACCCTTTTTACATAGGGTGTTTAGTGCAAAACGCACGCTGAACGGATGTTAAATGAAAATTGTTTTATATTAATCAAATAAAATACTGAAATGTAAAAATAATGTTAAGAGAATGTTTAACTAAGATAGGAATGCATTGTATTTTATAATGGTCCGACCAACCAACCTACCATCTTAGCGCCAAATGGGATATAATCTGCCTAAAGTAATGCAGTGTAATGCATAACCCTAAAAGTTCCAGAAGTGTTGGTTTAATTTCGGAAGAAAGTCCATTCCTACCAGTTAAGGTTTTGAATACAACGTCGTCTGACCTATACCAGGGATTACTTCCGGTGATCATCCGAATCAATACCCACAACTCACAATCGCCATAATCCATGATAAAGAATATCCCCGTCTTACACAGCCGCTGCATTGTTTAGTAGAACGGATGGCGGTTCGTGAAGTATTACAGAAAGGGGTAGGATAGCTATGGTTTGCCATTGTATACATTGTTTACATTGTACTACGGTCTACCCGGCGTCTGTAATTAAGGACCCTTGCTCATATTTAAATGAAATCTTCGAAATATTAAGAGAGCATACATAAAAAAACGAAATCATTAAAGTTCAAAGTTGCCGCTCATCAAATGTAGTTTTACTGATACTGAGATACTGAAGAACATTCTAAGCAAAATCTGGTATTTACTAAGGCTGCTATATACAGTGTAATAACACCATCATATACTCATGCTTCTATACAGTGTAATAACACCATCATTCACTGCCCTCCAAAAGTTCTGTTACATTTGCATTTTTCGATATATAATTAAAGTATACAGAATTATGCCAATCTTGTTTTTTTATCATTTGTATATATTATTAACTAAGTTATTGGACAATTATTTCTGTTGATTTTATTATGTTAAGTTAACATATTGTTACAAAAATCAGCTATTATGTAAATTGTCAAAAACATTGTAATTCCATTAATATTTAGTGTATCCTCCACGTGCTCTTATCACAGCCTGTATACGGTCAGATATACTCCTAACCAAAGTTCTACATATCCTAGCAGGTATTCC